CCTCCAGTACCCGACACTTCTACCACTACTTCAGTGGTACCGGCCTACCTGCTACTTGAGTGTTTTTCCCCTCTGCTCTAAGTGTCGCGGGCCTACCCCCCGCTACTCGAGTGTTTTCCCCCTGCAACCCTTCACGGTCACGGCCACAGGTAAGTACCGGCCCTGCGGGACCTTGCAACCAACAAGTACCCTTGCGGTTCACACACACACTCAATCGTCAAGCACTCAGACAGGCATGCAAACCAGCAGGCACGCACACCCACACAGACATGGAAATCACAGCAGAATGCGGGAATTTCAACAAGGCATTCATTCCAGCAGCAAATCCCAGAAATCAGCAGTGTTCTCAGTCTGTGTTTTTGGCGGGTCATTACATTACCCCCCTCTCAAGAGCGAGGTCCCTTCGAGCGAGTAACTCATTCAGAGTTGGCACAAAATGCATCGTAGGAGTAAATCAGAAAGAGAGACTTAGTAAGTCCGTGAGGAGTCATTTTGGCAACAAATTTAGCAGTCTGTCCCTCAGCGATTTGTCGTTCATAAGCGTTCACAACACAAGGAGCACTCTTCAACAGCTCTTTTCGGTCGATCCAGAAGAATTCAGTCAACGGGTGATAGAGGAAGTGAACCTTGTACTGTCTGTTCCTCCCTCTTCCCTCGTGAGACACGATTCTGTCTATCTCATGGTCGCCGTCAATAGGGCGAGGTATCATAGGGTCTCGGTAGGGAAACATCTCATCATCAATATGTGGAAACAGTTTGGACGCATGAAAGACCGGATACGTGCGCGGATGAGGAGGCACGTCAATCACATATGAAGGACCAAAATCATCCCCAACCACCTTCAGAATCTGCCAAGGGCCATAGTACAATGGAATGAGTTTTCGTGATATGCCCTCTTCATCAGAAAACTCAGACATTTTAACCCAAACATAATCCCCTACTTTGAATTTTTCTTCTTTGCGCAACTTGTTAGCATGTTTGATCATGGCATGCTGGCGCTTGTTCATGGCTGCAATAATAGCTTTGAGCAAGCGTGCGTATTTGGCATTGTAGCCAGGCATACCAGGCGTCAGACCAGGTGACCTTTCAGGGAACAGATAGGAGAGGGGTTTACGCATCGGCCATCCATATTGCAACTGGTTTGGTGTCACGCCAGTTGCAGAGTGAATGAAGTTGTTATACAACCCCTTTACTTTGTGCAGCTCCTTGTCCCACGTGTTCTGATCTGGAACAATCAATGCGCGAAGTAGTTGGATGATAGTCTGGTTGATCTCCTCGGCCAATCCATTGGCTTCGGGGTGTCGACCAGAAGTCCTGTTCAATTTAATGTCATATATTTGAGAGGTGAAGTCCTTCCAATCTTTACTAATGAATCGGGTGTCCCGATCACTCACGATGGTTTTCGGTTGGCCATACTGCAGAATATACTGCTGATGGAACTCTTCGATGACAAGCTCGGTTGGTGCATGGGAAGGGAAAGGAATCAGATTCAGAAATTTGGAGAAATGATCCACTATGACCATGACCTGTGAATTCCCTGCTTCACTCACCTTTCCCATGTCCGTGAAGTCGATGGAGATCGATTCACCGGGTCCATCAGGAATGGGGAGGGGTCTTAGCAGGCCATAAGGCTTATGCCTGTGGACCTTGGTTCTCTGACATACCTGACATTCAACAATAAATTTCTGAGCAGATCCTTTCATTCCTGGCCAATCAAACTRCTGCAGAAGACTTCCATAAGTCTTCTCAAAGCCGAAATGTCCACTCCGACCATGTGCCAGATCCAAGAAATGAGTTCGGAGCGGCGCATGGTTGGGTACACACAAACGATCAAACTTTCCATACCGACGGAATACAAGACTCTCGCACTCATGAAAATCAGCCTGACTATTAGGGTCAGCCTTGAGCTGCTCAAGGATGAGACTGAGGTCCGGATCCTTGGCGGTGTGTTCGACCAGATCCTCCTTCAGTTTCTTTCGGAGGTCATACGAACCCACAAGGCAAGTCAAGAATTCAGGGTGGCGAGACAGCGCATCAGCAACCCGGTTATAACAACCTTTCTTGTGTTTCAATTCAAAGCTATAGACATCAATATCATGCAACCAGTGGGTCAATGTAGGAGAGAGTTCAGATTGTGTCTGAATCCACTGCAAGGTCTGATGATCTGAGTAGACCTTGAAGTGGCGACCCAAGAGGTAGTGCTTCCAATGTGCGAGAGCCTCGCACAGGGCGTAGAGCTCACGCATATACGTGGAAGTAGCTACCTTGTGGCTGGGCATGCGTTTGCTGTAGTACTCGAGCGGACACAGGCCATCACCATCATCTTATTGCAGCACTGCACCAATCCCGAACTGGCTCGCATCCGTAGTGACTACGAAAGTGAGGTTGGGATCTGCAATGCGAAGCATAGGATGACTCACCAATGCCTCTTTCAAGGCTTGGAACGCAGTCTCACACTTCTCACACCATGCATAGGCAACATTTTTGCTGGTTAGTCTTGAGAGAGGGTGAGCAATGACAGAAAATTTGGGCACAAACTTCCGGTAATATGAGGCCAGACCAAGGAAAGAACGCAGTTCGCGTACGTTTGCCGGTTGAGGCCAGTTTCGGATGACCTCAACCTTGGTTGCCTCCGGCTTAAGGCCATTTGCAGACAACCGGTGTCCAAGATAGATGACGGTGTCCCTCCCAAACTCAGATTTCTCTAAGTTGAGGTGCAGTTGCGCCTCCTTGAGGACCTGCAAAACTTCCTCAAGGTGCTTGAGGTGCTCTTCCATGGTTTTGCTGAAAATCAGTATATTGTCAAGGTACACAACCACAAACCTGTTGAGTTGATGGCGAAGTACCTTGTCCATAGGGCACTGAAATGTGGTCGGTGCATTCGTAAGACCAAAGGGCATAACGATGAACTCGTACAGCCCATCGTGTGTTTTGAATGCAGTCTTGTGCTGGTCGCTCGGATCAACTTCAATCTGGTGGTAACCAGATTTGAGGTCGATCTTGGAGAAGACCTTGCACCCACCAGCCGCATCTAGCAGACCATCTATGCGAGACAAAGGGTAAACATTCTTTCTCGTGATCCGATTAAGGCCACGATAGTCAATACACATCCGGAGTTTGCCTCCTTTCTTTGGCACAAATAGGACAGGTGCACCGAATTCAGACTCACTGGGCTTAATCCATCCACGGTCAATCATATCATCAATCTACCTCCTCAACTCCTCCAACTCGCCTTGTCCCATAAGGTAGACGCAGCCCTTTGGAGGAACACTCCCCTTTATTATCTCGATTTTGTGTTTGACCGGACGCTCGGGAACTCCACGAGGTTCGTGCAAAACTTCAGGGAATCGATCTAATAGCTGGCGAATGTTTGTTGGGACTTCCGGTGGAGGATCATCCTGATCAGGAGATAGAAAATTAGACTAAGAATTTACAGTAATGACAACCGGATTAGAAGAACTTGGATCAGAAGTAGAAGGATTATTCACAGTAGAAGTAGATGGATTAGAAGTAGTGGTGATAGAAGTAGAGTTACTTACCGAGGTAGAAAATGCAGCAAAAGTAGAAGGCACATGGAGAGGCTTTACAAAAGCTACATGTACATGCTCAATTTCCTTGTGCCTGCGCACTGATTTGCAGAATTTGGTTGCACTTAGAAGAGTCAAAGGGGACTCGCGCGTCTCATCCAATAGGACGGTACGCTCGTTCCCCTTGTTATCACGCACCACGAACTGATTGTCCGCCCACGTGGTCCTTAGGCAATGAGCCTTTAACCAGCCCAAGCCAATGACCGCGTCGAACGGACATTTGTCCATGACATAGAAGTTGAGCTCATGTGTGACAGTGCGGTCCCTGTCAAAGGTGACGCGCACACCTTTGACAGCATGTGTAGAGGTGACAACCTCTTGGTTGCCCACCTGGGTCTGACAAGGGTTATGCAGTTCCACTTGCTTCATTCCCACGCCAGCCTTACGAATCCCGTTAGGAGAAAAGAAGTTAGTGGTTGAACCACTATCAATCAGCACGCGGATGTATCGGCGGTTAATGAGCAGTTTAAAGAAGGTTAGTTCCACACTCCCTTGAACACGGCGTTGCTGCTTGAGCTGCAGCCAGTGTTCCATGTGGGCATGGAAGTCAACTTCCTTAGACTCCTCCCAAGGCTCTGTGTATAACACATGAATTGCAGCAGCCTTGGATTCAGCGTCGTTTCGGGCTTCAAGAGTGGGCTGTTGATTAGATTCAGACTCATCGGAGGGGCCTGCAACTGATGTTCCAGCTTCCCCTGTTGTAGGGAGTGCTGATAACTCCTCTACGCCCTTTGCTTGTTTCCCTGCAGTCTATAACTGTCCTGCACAACATGACCAGGCTTTTGACAATCCAGGTATATGCGCAGTTTAGATCTTCTTTCCCATTCCTTTTGACTGATACAGAGGGCTTCCCAAGGCTTGGTTGATGCATCCTCCGGTTTCTCAAGGATCTTTGCATTCTTGGGGAGGTGGACAACAGTTCCCTTACCTGAACCACGGTTAGGCCCCTTGTTTGAAGCAGTCTTTCTAAAAGCATTCAATTTTTCATCTTCGTTGACGTCAGACTCAATGGCTGATGTGGAACAGCCCATATCGGAGTCCGGCTCTAGATCGTCATCTAGAGACAGATCACCCGCATAGGACTGATCTTCAGCCTCCCGATGTTCATGCAGTGCAAGCTGGTTGCTGCTTCCGAACCGCTTGCGTTGTGGTTTCCCACCTGCAGCGGGCACCTTCTTCCGCCTGGCGAGGTCCTTGGCCTATAGGTTGACTAGATCCGTCATGAGCTCTCGCCAGGTGGTATGGTCTTTGAGTGCCAACAGGGAGAGGTATTCTTTAGGGGCCACTCCCATGACTACATCCATACAAGACACGTCAGTCATTCCCAGATCCGGAGTGGTGAACAGACCAGTTAAGTGTTGTTCCAAAGCTTGCATGGAGGACCTCCATGTTTGACCCTTGAGGGCCTCAAGCTTCAACCTAGCCTTGAGCGCAGCATGCTTGTCTTGGTACCGTGCGAGGAGAAGGTCCTCAAGGGTGCGTACTGGGGTTACCTTCAGCCATTCAGTCAGGTCTATTCGTTCATAGCCTGCAGCAACAGCTTGGAGCTCAATGTGATTCCGTACGGCGGGCTCGGTATTAGTCCCCATGATCATACTTCGGTCCTCCTGCGGTGTCCGCATAACCTCGAAGTATGACCGCATGGAACTAATCCAAGAGGTAACGTCTGTCTTCCCGTCGTACTTGGACGACAAAGTGGCCGCCCGCTTGTCCACCATGGGACCGCTGTACTGAACACTAGTAGGGACTATGGCGTTTTGGGCTGATGTCCCCGCATTTGGGACTATGACCAGTGCAGAACTGTCGGCGCTGCCGCTCGAGGAGCTGGCACTGGATCCTGCGCTCGTCACAGTTCCACTTGCCCTTGCCATGAGGACTGTATTGGATTGAGAGACTGGGACTGCAGCGGGTCGAGGGTTAGGAGGGCGGGGGGCAGACAGTTGGGACTGTTTGAGGCTGATTATCTCAACCTGAAGCTCTTCGTTCCGCTGCTCCAGCGCTGTTACGCGGGACTCAAGGTCTTCCAAGGTCCGCAGTCGAACCAAGGCTGCTACGACAACAGCTAGTCCTTCCTGGAACCGGTCAGCATTGGCTTCCGGGATCCGAAGGAGAGCCACCTGATCAGCAATGTTGGCAGCTCTGGTTGCTGCCGCTGCCTCCCTTTCCCTCTGCACGGCACCATCAAAAAGCTTATGGAAGAACAGTCTCTCGCTCTCATCTGCTGCATCCAGCATGGCCTGCCATTGGGCAGATGTGATGTTAGCCATGCCGGAGGAAGGGGTGTCAGTAGATCTCTCAAGAGGGGTCCGCTCTCTCCTTACGTTTGGACGAACACTCCTCTTGCCCCTCGCTCACACTCTCAAACAGAACACCTTCTCTCTCCCTTCTCTCTCTCTCAAATGTCTGCGCACGCATCTCAATACTGGACATAGATAGTTCAGGTGAAAGAAACAAGCAGAAAATCACACAGAGAAGAAGGTAAAACTCCTAGCCGGAGCGGCGATTCATTTGGACTCAGAGAATGGCACGCAGCGGAAAAGGATAAATAAATAAATAAAAATAAAACGGAAGAGAGGACCGACTTATAGAACGGGCCCGATCAAATCAGCTGGAGATCCCCTCTTGTCTAACCTGACAAGGGACATGCATCACGATAAGTCAGCCGGAGAAAACTAACTGCAGCAATGGAGATTTCGAAGGGTGCAGACGGTCGCCGAGTCAGACGCGGGGCAGTATGTGATAACAAGCGGTAAGACCACTCAAGATCCCCTCGAAAGGAATGCCCTTGCTAGCCGTATGTCCCCCAAGCTCAGCGCAACAAAGAAATGCACAAGCGGCAACAGATTTGGGCCCAAAAGGTCCTGTCCCGTTGGGCCTGGTCCCACTGGGTCCCGAGAGGTCCCAAGTAGGCCATGGACCAGGACCAACGGGATAGGGGTACCAAGTCGGTCCCAAACTGCCTCTACCGTACTGAAAAGAAAAGACAACTTTCAGCAAGAACTTACCCCTACAGCCGTTCAGAAATGAAAAGACAATGCACCGTAGAAAGATATGTCATTTAGAATAGATACATCATCCATCCATCCATCAGGTGAGAAAGCAATCCACATGCTCACACACACAACCAAGACCGCAGAGAAGAGGAAGAGAGCCCAGCACACGCCCAACAGGCCATGAAGTACCAAGCAACCTCCCACGGGCATAACCAGGTCACAAGGCACTTACCTGTGAGACCCGGCCTCCAAAGATGGATAATGAGTCACCCCCCTCTCTCATAAGTCCTCCTGACCCCTAGCTACCACTACACGAAGTGTCCTAGCATGACTAAGAGGGCCTTCCTACACCCCTATTGCAAAGTCGGATCCCCCGTCGATGTCTGAAGACCAAAGTAGCAACTTGCAGCAATCCGATGCAGATATGGCAGCCTCCGATCAAGTCTCCCTCTTGAGGGGAAGCCCAAAAGTCACTCAATGTCTTCTTGAAGTGCAGATTCCAGGTGCGAGTACCTCTCACTCTCTACTCCCTCTCGCTTACTCCAATCAGCCTCCTTTGTGTCTCGCCACCCCATCCATTCACTCAGTCAACCTGATCAGGTCAAATGTCGACCCTACATGACCTAACCAGGTGGGGGAAGTATCCACATACCTCACTGCCCCACTTAACCCTAACTTCCAACCCTAATCCGAGATTAGGTTAGCCCTGACCTAACTCGGAATTAGGTTTAGGGTGACTAACACCTCTCGCCAGCAAGTAAGTCCGCTCCGATACCAATTGTTACGATCCTAGTCATTTCCCAAGTGCAAATTCACAATGAAAGATAATGTCACCCAATTGCGAAAGAAATGAAAGCACTTGCAAAAAGATAAAGATCAGAAGAGAGAGAAAGAAGAAGAAGAAGAAGAAGAACACCAGCAAGACCAATGACAATTTCCCCTTCTCTCTCCACCTTCCCCCTCCTCCTTCACTTCACCAATCTTATTCTTCCCTCGATAATAATAATAACAATGAATGGATGAACCAGAATCAATATCCGAAGTTCCCTCTTACTGCTGACTCAACTCAACGACAACAACAACAACAACAACAACCAGTCCACCATAGCTATGGCTTCCCTCCTTCAGCCTCCTCTCTCATGCATAGGCTATGGCGGACTACTCCAANACAACAACAACAACAACAACAACCAGTCCACCATAGCTATGGCTTCCCTCCTTCAGCCTCCTCTCTCATGCATAGGCTATGGCGGACTACTCCAAGCAGCTAGGGTGCTGCGCTGATGTCCAAAGGACAACCCAAGCAGCTATGGTGCTGCGCTGATGTCCAAAGGACAACGCAGAGCAGCTATGCCGCTGCTGACTTGGTCCGCTATGCCTGACTCTCCCTTGAGCTTCCCTGGTGCCGCACTACCCCAACTGGGGCCTTCCAGATGCAGCGCCCAACAAGGTGATGAAGATGGTGTCTTCCATAGCCAGGTAAGTGCCCCATCACTCTCCTACCATGCCCCCTTCTTCCTCCTCCTCAAGCTGGACTGCTCACCATAGCCAGGCTGAGCTCCAGCGGCCCTTCACCTCCAAGCAGCACTGCACCAGCCCAGCGCTGCGCTCCAGCAGCATGTCGCCAATCCTTGCACACCGCAAATGAGGAAGAGCTCTTTGCTCTTCGTGGAGATATAGTGGCCTACCGGCCTCCTGGGCGGTGACTTCCTAGGCCAAGCAGCCTCCCAGCAACCGGTACCTCCTCCCTTTGGGAGGGAAACATCATTGCAGGCTCTGCTATCCTCCGCACAGGCCCTAGACCCGGGCTACTTGGACTGGTACCGGCCTACCGCTATCCTACCGCTACTGGGCCTCTAAAAATGCCAACTTTTTGTCTTCTTCTGCTCGGCCTCC